GTTTTAGCTTTTACCTCTAGAAAACAAAACAACAAAAATAAGTAAATAAATAAAACAGAAATGTCTTGTTGTTCACATATAGTTGTGTTGTGTGGTTTTTTTTGTTTGTTTGCTCGTTGCTGCTTTTCCTGTTCTGGGGCTGCAACGTCTGCACCTCATTAATTTTAACCTCCACCATGCCTCTCTTCCCTCTTCTAGTTTTTACTTCCTTCTTTAGCTCTAAATAGCTTGAGCTGTGTCAGTTATTCTTGTGAGAGCGTAGCCAGGGTGTGAAGAGGATGGAGGAAATGATGTAGGAGATGAGAAGGACATTAAACTTTAATAAACTTTAACAACTGTTCTACATCACCATCTTCATTTGGCCTTTTCCTTTGCTGTGTCACTTCAAGAAAACCTATGGACTTCTACTTTCAGCTAAATAGGGCTGCAACAATAAATCGATAAAATCGATAAAAATCTATGACAAAATGCGCTGGCAATGCATTTCGTCATTTATTTGTTGTGTTGTGCAACCTTTTTTCATGTCGTGCAACCTTTATGTAACAGCCAATGCACGCAGCTCATCTGTATTTGGCAGCAAAGCAGACCAAGGCAGATCACAACACGAGGGATGTATATGTCACACATGCGATGAAAAGACTCCGTGTGCGATAAACTATTTTTAGATGTAGCACTTGTGCAACATCTTTTCAAGTTACTGTTTTCCCCCAGAACTTTATTGAAAAAAGGTAAATTGCATGTTATTGTGTAAGGAAGATACTTTTTATTGACGCACAGTAATGGAACTGGGATTGGGACAATATTAAATTGAACTTGTACCAAGTTTTGTAACTTGAAACATGTTTTGTAACTTTGACTTTTGTTTGTGGCATATAATTCATGTATTGTAACACGTAACTTTTGTTTTGTAACACGTAACTTACATTTTGTAACACATAACTTTTGTTTTGTAACATAAAACTTTTTTGTAGCATGTAATTCTCATTTTGTAACATGTCACTGTGGTACGTAACATGGAACTTTTATTTTGTAACTTGCAGAAAAAAAATCTTTGTACAAGTTTCAAATCACAATTTTCAAAATACAAATCTCAGTCTACAGTTACAAAACTCAAGTCTGCAAGTACAAAACATGTTATCCCAATTCTAGCTTGCGTCCAACAGGAATTGTCTTCAACATGAATCCAAGACTCATTGATTGGCTGGTCAGACAAAGCCTGTCATTTGTTCTTTGGGAAGGAAGCTAGAATTGGGACAATATGTTTTGTACTTGTAGACTTAAGTTTTGTAACTCTAGACTGAGATGTGTGTTTTGAGAGTTGTGATTTGAAACTTGTACATTGATTTTTTTTTCTGCAAGTTACGAAATGAAAGTTTCATGTTATGTACTAAATGTAACGTGCTACAAAACAAGAATTACAAGTTACAAAACAAAAGTTACAGTTACAAAACATGTTACAGGTTACAAAGCTTGGTACAAGTTACATGTAATGTCCCAATCCTAGTTCCATACACAGTGTGCTGATCTAGGTGCTGTGGAGGAAAACGGAGAAACCAGCAACAACACAAAGTATCTGAAGTGTAACTACGGGCAGACTAGCCATTGCCAGTGGGTAGCTGGTTCAAGATCCAATGGGGTTCCAAAAAATATCTTAACTCTACAAGCAGAAGAAAAGTCCCATCATCTTTTTTTATTCTTAGTTGTCTGCAGAGCTATGGAGCAGAGCCGCTGCAGTCAGGTTGCTTCTTCGAGTCTGCTCTGCTAAACACCGCAGCAGGAGTATGGCAAGCCACTGTAGCATGTAATTCACAAACGCATCTGTATGTAAACATAATTTAAACTAGATTATTGCTAACCTGTACATAATAGATATGTTTCCATAAAATTTTTAGCAGTAGAAATTAAATGTTATTAGCATTCCTAGTAGCGTACTACTGAACATGTTAATGAAATTCATAAAATTTTACCAACCATTGTTTAATTATGGATATATTTAGTTGATATCATGATGGTTTGCACGCTATTGAACTGTTTTCTAATCATGTTGTGTTGTTAAAGTAAAGGAAGGAGTGAATAAATGTTTCCCTAGCAGTTTTAAATTTTTTTCCTTTTAATCGATGAATCGAGTCGAGATCCCATCCGATTCATCGATGATACAAATAATCGTTTGTTGTAGCCCTCCAGCTAAATCAGATTTGAATAGCATTAGGATACACCAGATACATAGTTTTCTACCAGTTTTGTGCCAGTTTTTTGTCTCATGGTTTGTTTTTTTTCATTTGTCTTCATCACCTGTGATTCAGCTTTGCACACTCTTCCTTTTCTAACACAAATTCTGAATTTCTTTGGCTTTTATCTGCTGCTGGGTGTTTTTGTTCTGCTCTTGGTTTGACTCAGTGTTTGCTCTCAGTGTGACCTTGTGTCCTGTTTTTTCTTCCCTCTTTCCTCTCTCTTCCAATTTACATTACCCTATCAAATCTGATCATCATCTTTCTTACTTTTCCTGTTCTTTCGGGTTTCGACGCCCCTCCCCCCCGTGCTACTTCTCTGTTCTGAGTTTCCCCCTCCCTTTCTGTCCTTTTCTTCTCCCCTCCTTTCTCTCCCACGTCTGTCTGTGTTCATGTCATGTAC